GTGTTTGGTCTTGGTAATCTTTTCGGTGCTGCCCCATGCTTTTGCCAGTTGAAACATGTCGCCGCCCAAATAACATTTTTGTACATTTTTTTAGTTTTTCAGTGTCCTAAATGTAGAACCGAAATGTTATTTGAAGAATGTTTAAGAAGAGTAAAATCTCGTCCTAAATGGCAATTTTCATTTTAAAAAATTGGATCCATTTTTGTGAAAATAGCGTTTGAACGTTTTTAGAAAAGCGAAATTTTGATCTCATTTTCACAGAAAACTGTTGAGTTTTCAAGAAACTTTACAAAGCGTTAATTAAACTACATGCACTCATAAACATAAAAATGTGAACAAATTGACGCTAAAGTAAATTATATCGGCGTGAGAGACAATTCAATATAATACATTTTTGTAATTTTCGAAAAACAAAAGAATAGAGCAATACGACAATTATGTCATCTTATAGAGTACATTTAGCACTATTCCTACCAAAAGTTTAAAGACAAAAATTGAAACCGTTTTTCAGTAAATATGTTTAAGTTATTTGAAAATATGCACAAATTGTACATAATATTGCGCGAATACCACTAAAAGTTTCAAAAAATGTCCACGACCTTAACGAAAGAACTAATCATGGAAAACAAATTTCATTTGAAGGAAATATATCCATCTTTAATTTTATAGATTTAGAAAGACGCCGAAAATTCAGAGTTAACAGTGAAAATCGAACTTTTCTAAAGGCATTTTCTTCTATTCTTACAAGAAATTTAAAGAAATAATTTGGAGCCATTTTTGAGAAAATTTTGAAAATATCTCTGGAGTTTCATGTTAAGTACCTCAAAATTTTAAAGAATGTTTTCAAAATCTTAAAGCTTCGACTACAATGATATCAACCGGGGAATGTCCATTTTAAAAACTATCCGACGTATGGTTTAGGCTCTACTGGTTTTCACAGACGAACGATAAATATATATATATATATATATATATATATATATATATATATATATATATATATATATATATATATATATATATATATATATATACAAATCTTGGTATTAGGGAACCCGAAAACGCGTATTTTCGTTGACATTTCGAAATCGATTTTCCGCAGCATTACATATAATAATATACTATTTTATTGAGTCACATATGCTATTACAATCCTGTATACGAGTCAATATGACATTTTGGGTGGAGAGAGTGAAGTTACATTTCTGTCCAGAAGCGATACATAATTTTCTCTATATTACTCTGTATATACGTATGAATACGAGAAAGTATAAAAACAAGGTTTAAATTTATAGTTTAATTTTAAGTTTAATTATGAATTGTCTCTCACGCCGATATAATTTACTTTAGCGTCAATTTGTTCACATTTTTATGTTTATGAGTACATTGTAGTTTAAATTATAAAAACAAGGTTTTTCTACAATATGTCTTAAAATGTTTTCTTTAAAATTTTGGAAGAGATAGTGCTGTTTTCTATAAAATGTCATAAACGCCGTATTGCGCTACTCTTGTGTGTTCTAAAAAATGTATTATTTGTTCAGCCTCTTACGTCGATAATATTTACATTCGCGGTGATTTTTCCACACTATTATATTTATGAGTATTTATGTATTAAATTATGTCATATAAAATTTCTTGAAAATATTAAAGTTTTTTGTGGAAGTGACCTCAAACATCTACCTTTTCGGAAACGCTCAAACGGCTTTTTCTCAAAAAATACCTCCAAATTGTTTCTTCAAACTTTTGTTGAGGATCATGCTAATCGCACTGTTTAACATGTCAAAATTAATTTTAGGTTATATTTGTTTTTTTTTTCAAAAATTACACAAATATATTTTTTAAATATCTATGCCGTTATTACACAGTCTGTCCCAAAAGGTCCCGGAATTATTTTTTAAAATAATTTATTCAACAGCAATTTTCATTCTTTTTCGATCTTTCCAAGTACTCTTCCTCTGCTTTGATCACACTGTTGCCAACGCTTCACCCAATTATTGAAGGCGCCATGGAAATCGTCAACGGGAATCTTCAGTGTGGGCGTCACAGCTGCTTTTTTTTCACCTCTAGTGTCCCATGCCGAGTTCCTTTCACGGTTGTTTTGATCCTTGGGAACAAAAATAAGTCCGCTGGTGCCAGATCGAGGCTGCACAGCGTTGTCACACCCATTTTGGGCAGCACCTTGGAGACAACGAGCGCGTTGTGGTTTGACGCGCTGTGATGATGAAGGTGATTAAGGTTTAAGGGCGATTCAACATTGAGGTCATTGCCGCCCATGTCAATTTTTGAGAGCAACACGCACTGTAGCAGTGCCAGACTAAAACTTTTTTTGCAAGGTAAAATGTATGTAAAACTGAACATAAACATGTTCAATTATTTAAAAGGGTTGGCTGAAGAGAGACAGATAAACACTTTAAAATCTCCAATTATAAGCCAAATAATTGGCATAATCCTCAGATAATGCTGTATATGCCAGGCTCTCGTAAAAAGCTTGCAAAGAGAAAATTCGTCATTTCCAAGTACCTGTACAAGAGAGCTAGCAAGGTGAAGCCTTTTGCGGCTATCTCTTACTTTAGAACAGTGTAGGAGAACATGCTCCACGCTAAGATCCTTATCGCAACTATGGGGAGTAGGGGGTGGGTCACCGCGGAAATGCCCGTGGGCAAAATGGCAGTGGCCGATCCGAAGGCGTGTCAGAATTATATCCTCGCGTCTTGACTCACGAGATGACTTTACGCCGTCCTTGATTCTTGTGAGTTTTAAGTCTTGAGTTTTGCCACTCTGACGTATTGTCATGGTACATTATATAATTATCGCGATTTTTTTTTTTTTACAGACAATTTTCATTTGAAGATCCTCAGTAAAAATGCGGTGAGCGATTGTTTTGAGTATTCTACACCCCTCTGCAATCATCGGAACACTTAATGGTCGGTACTTGTCCACAATTTGACGCACTTTTTGCACCGAGTCTTCCGTGTGTGATCTCGAGCTGCCTTCGTTGATTCCCGAACCTCTTGTGCCACATGAAAGTTTGGCTTCGTTTCATCGCCCTGCGATTGTAGCGTTTCCGAAAGCATTTCGAGCTCCTCCGCACAGTTTTCCCCTACTTTCACACAGAACGTGTCTCCATTGCATAACGCGGCTCCAAACACGTGTCCATTTTTTGCTCGACGAAGGTGCAGTGTACCCCGCGGAGCGTACCCATTCCTCAACTGCACGCACTGGTCTCTCTCGTTTCGAAGCGTGCACTGCGATTATGCATCTCTGCCCCTGGCAGGTATCAGTTGTTGACGGCCTCATCCAATCGAAAGTTTAAACGTCACAAGTGACGTCACTACGGTACCTGCCAGGGGCAGAGTTGCGAAAACCATAGCGGAGTTCCCTTACCAACTTCTCCGCTCGAAGCTCCGATACGCAAACCAGCCATCACACAAACTAGAAAAAAGTCATTCCGGGAAATTTTTGGACCGACCTTGCATACACGTTTGCAGCGAGTTGTATACACTATTACATTTGGAAATGAAAGTGATTCAAATGAGTTCTAATGAAGTTTTTCTTAAAAACTATAAAACTTAAAATTTCTCTGCAAAGAGCAGCTTCAAATTTCGCCTTTACAGTAACGATAAGCCACTTTCTTAAAAACGGCTCCAAATTTTCAATGAAAATTATTTGGGACGTGGTTTTACTCTTCTTTTATATTCTTATAGTAATATTTCGATTCTACCGTTAGAACACCAACAAACAGAATTTTTCTAAAAAAAAAATAATAAAAAAAAAAAAATGTACTTTGGGCGGCGATAGATGGCAGTTGGCAAAAGTATATGGCAAGTTCGAAGAGCTAGCCCAAACCAAAGAAAACAGAAAACGAAAATTAGAAAGTCTTTGTCGTTCAGTAGCACCACTAGTGTATTTTCCAATGTAAACGTGTCTATATTTTGATTAATTGAAAACGCCTGAACACGCATGCAAGTGATAAGCAAAACGCCATGAATGAAAAATAAATATTTTTTAGACCAAAACACATTTTTATTGATTGTGAAAAGGAAATGGATATTTGTGTTTATTTATAAATTGTTAAAATTAATGGCACATTGTCTTAAGGTTACGAAGTATTGTCTGGAGAATCACTTAGTGGTGGTTGGAGAAACCACGCAAAACTACCAATCAGAGCAGCCGGCCACTAGAATTCTCCTCCAGATAGTGGTTGGATTCGACCTAACCATGTAGCTGGCGTAGTAAATATGGCCAGTGTCAGAGCTGAAACCAAAGGAACTACTGCACTGACAGAAGCACTGCAGTGACATCAGTTGAATACATTGTTGTCAATCATAATCTGTGATCTGGGTAATCTCAAGCCTCTTTATGCACATCACTCATGAAACATTACTTCTTTAATAGACTTTTATATTTTAAAAATCTAACAGATTATATAATGCTTGGGTATTATTCAAGAATAAGATTTTTGCTTTTTGCATAGATTATTGAATATGCACTGGTAATATAACGGCTGGAGTATTGGATTCTTATACCAAAGTTTGCAATGTTTTTTCTTATGCCTGCCTTCACGGGGGGCAGAAAAGCTTGTGAGACCATGTTGAAGATTTACTGCATGTACGATTATGAAACCTAAAAGAAGCCGAGTTAAATTCAAAATGTCGCCCTAGTGATAATTTCTTTCTCTGCCAGATGGCAAAAGGAGCACAGTGAAATTTGCATGATCAGGCAGAAGAGCACACCTGATGGCCTAATCCTCGCCCCATTAAATAAGGCAAGAATGACTGATTGATACGGTTATAAATAGCTCCAAATTACTGTAAGTGAAATTATTAGAACTGTTCTAATTTATTATTATTATTATTATTATTATTATTATTATTATTATTATTATTATTATTATTATTATTTCATTATAACCAACACACAGATGAATGCATGATTACTCGTTAACAAATACTAGATTTTCAAGAATAGACATGAAAAATATGAATCATTCATAAAATTCAGTGCTAACAATTTTTAATTAAAAATGTTGCCATAAATGTTGCTTATTACAAGACTTTGGATGAAGTTATTAATAAATGTATCAAAAATATTGTACATCAATAATGTAAATATATCTTTAAAGGTGGTCCAGGAGTGGTAAAAGTAAATGACATGAAAATAATAAAAGTGCAGCACTCATATTGAAAATAATGTTATGGCAAAAGACAAATAATACATTATCAATGTTTCTCAACCAAACAACATTGACTAGCTTCAGTAATCCTACTGTAGACACTTTTTACAGACAGCAGGCACTCCTTACAAACAAATACAACATACAAAATAGTTGCAATTTTTTAGAATAATAGTTGGAACACAAAGATTGTAGTTTTTTTTTACTTATTTAAGTAGTTGCTGAGCAACTAAGGTCATACAGCAACCATTGTAAAATTCGCATAATTGTATACAGTTGCACACAAACCTCCATGCTCTGGGCGGGATTTGAATTGCAACCCTTCAGGCACGAAGCAGAAATGGCTCTTCAGCCTTCTTGACCTCAGCTGTCCAAGCCAGCTAAGGATTGAAGTTGTCACCTTAAATAAGAAAGTGCACAACTCGTACACACTGAACCAGAAAACAAGTTATCCAAAACTCTCTGAAATAAACTTGCAAATTAATTTTGGTTCTAAGCAATTTATAAAAATGCTGTGCCCAAAAGAAGTGCTTGCAACCCATTTATTTATCCCCTCTAGAGCTTTTATCCAGCCAACTGCCAGTTTCACTTTACATCCCGATGGGATGCATATTCAACTGTACATTAGATACCAACATTCTTGCAGGCTCCTCTGATCTGGGGCCAGCAGAACGCGAGGCCCTCCATGACAATACATACATGAGAGACAAGGGACAAACAACCATGCCCAAGGCGGGACTCGAACCCACAACGCTTCAGACCGAAGCACTGAGTCGGTACACGCTCTTAGGACTATGTCACATTGACACATTACTTATCGCGTGTAAATGCAATGCTCATGTGCACAAGCTCTTACTAAAATCAAAAATCTAGGTCGGCCTTATTTATTTATAAGATAACCATATATTGCATTCAGCAAAGTTTGTTAACATTGCTAACTCTTTTGCGTCATTCAATAAAACGTGATGACACACACTAATTCTTTCTGAACTGTTTTTCCAAAACTAAATTAGTTTAAACATTACTCACAACAAGGCATTACATATCTAGTGAGCAAAACACATGATGCTTACATTACTTTTTAACACACCACGAGCGAAAGATGTTTCACACATGCCTTGTAATGTTTTGCATTTTATTAGTTATAAAAAACAAACAATGCTGTTTTACACATGAATATGAGCATGAGACTCTGTTGAACATGGCATGTGAAAATCGAACAATTACACTGAATGTCTGCTTGAAGAGCATCTGCTAAATCAGTTCTACTATTCTTGGGCTGAAAATTATTATAAAAGCTTTTTCTTAAGATCTATTTTGTAATGTTTTGAGTATTGACAACGTATGCTTCCTAAATTATATTATAAAACTAATTCTAAGATTTGCTTAGCACAGGGACAGGCCCTTTGTACGCATTTGTGGCTGAGAGTCACATCATTCTCCTCAAAAGTCAAAGAGAACACTAGCTGTGCTCTAGAAAGGGTACACTGACAGGCAATGACATATTTGTTTGGATATTGTTGCATTTAGTTTCTAAGTGAGAGTCTTGTGATATATGTGGTCTCTAAAATCTTCTTCTGAATAAGGAAATTAAATTGAAAAATTGTTTGATAAATCTGTCGACCAAATTACATTACAAATTCTGGATACATTACGGAAAGATATTTTCTCAACCTTCCTTACATGAAGCAAAGTACCAAAAATGAATTTGTAACAATAGATCATTGTGAATGCAGCATTTAGTTGAAAATGAGGATACCAGATTCACAAAATGTATTACCTCCAGAATTTTTCCAAACACAGAACGGTGGAGTTGAAATTAGATTTCATTTAAACATTGTATTTTTTGCTATTCACTATTTTTCATTATAAGAGTATCAATCAATGTACAGAAAAAGATTGATTTTGGAATAAGTCAAACTACCAAGCAACCGAATTCTTAGCATTATTATTACTAAAAAAACCATTAACAAATGCCACAAAACTCATGAAGTCACCAAAAGTATAATAAACACACTTTCACAGTTGCTCAGCCCCTTTCCAAAATATTGTAATTTAGTTTGATTCCCACCTTTTCTCATACACACATACAGATTTTTTTTTTTTACTTTTTATCCCCAGTTTTTTAAAGTTTTCATACTTTCTGAACATGAAAACGACAATTCTATTTACTCAGGGTATTAACAATCATTTATTGTATTATTATATTTGAAGAAAAAGAACTCCCCATCATAATTACATGGATAATGCTGCACAAGCAGGCATAAAGAATCCCACCATGCATATAATATACAAAAATGTGGTTTAAAAATAACCACTAGAATAAGGCACTTTATAAAATTCAAAATGAACATTTGTCATTTTTGCTTTGTCTTTTTAAACCTTTTCTGAACAAAATTGTGATTACCATACAGTTCCTCAAAGCACTATGAACTCTCCGTTGGCACTTGGCGTTGAGACAGGAGTTCAGCTGGTTTGAAAAGTCCTCTTTCGGTGATGATGCCACTGATAAGGTCTGCTGGGGTGACATCAAATGCAGGATTCCAGCACTTTATACCTGAAGCAAAAAAAGTCTTATATTGTCAACTCAACACAATTGGTAAATTGATTAGACAGAATATGTACAGTTATATACAACCCTGGACCTTCCATTATTCAAAGAGATCCTCTAACTGAGCTATGGAAACAAACATTGCATTCCTGACAATTTATTAATCTTATAGCTATCGCTTTTGTGTATGGTACACTGCAGTAAGTGGAAGCACAAATTTCATTAGTTCAACTTTAAACCTCACCAATTTACAATGGTTTATTAATTTCTGTCCGATTATATATCAGTTCTCCAAATTATCCCTAATTACCATTCCAATTTTAAAATCAACAGCTTCCAACATACGGAAAAAAATGAAGGTTTACGGAGCTAATGCAATAAAAAATATCACTGAAGCAAAACTGGGTAAAACTGGGCAAAACGTTTTTTTTATTTGAAACGATATTTCCTTAATCAAAATGAACAATTCTTTATTGAAAATAACAGCTCTTAGGGTTGTTAAGCTCAACATAACAGTTCAACTTGCAAATCTATCTATGTTCTACTTACATAACTAATTTAACCAATATTATGGTGACTGTATACTACGTTAAATGTGAATTTGTCCTGTTTGACAAAAACAGGCTTCTGGTAAAAAAATTATTTATTTTTTAAAATTTATTTGATCAATTTGTATGGTACTTTTACCTTCAGCATTTGGTCAATGAAATGTAGATGACCAACAAAAAACCTCAAGGAACATTCCCCAGTTAATTTTCACTATCACCCTACCATCAACCTCTGCCTCAGCCACATATTTTGACAACACTTCAACAAAATTATGTTCCTCTTCACCTGTTAGAATTTTCCCTCAACACTGAACTGCTTGAAATCACATTTTACAACTTCATATTCAACATCTTCACTTGAATTTTCTGCTTAATCCAGACCTCTTTTTATTCAAATTTTTTCCCCTTCTTCTTAGTTACAGACTTGTTCAGCTTGTCTACATCTTTTGTGGTTCTCTTCTGCTGGTGTCGCACCTCTTCTCTCTGTCCTCTCTTTTCATGTCTGATAACTCATTCAGCCTAACAAATGCTTCTTCAGTTGTAATTATTTCAGCACAGCCACAAATTCTCTTCCTTTCAGTGGCCATTGCTTGATTTCCTGAAGGTCTGGGCCGGTAGCCAATCATCTTTACCAAGCTTGGTGAAGTCACGAAAGTTAAGTAGTTCATACCACCACCAGTACCTGGATGGGTGACCATCCGGGAATTATGGATACTAACGGCGCTGAACCCTTTGGTTGAGAGGGATAAAAGGTAATGACTGACTATGTTAGAGGAGAATTACTCGTTGAGTCCAATGCCAAAAGGTCTTGGCACTGTTACGCGGATAATAATATAAAAAAAAAAAAGTGTTTCTGTTAATAGTTGCCCACCAGCACATTAAAGAAAACAAAATCTGCTCATATTACTCCTGCTCTCAAATGATAAATTGGGGGG